TTTGAGCAAACCAAACCACTCTAAATGTTTATGACTGCATGTGGAAAACTTAGAAGAGTAGCTCCATGGTCAACACTGCTACCAAAGATGGAAAATGTCCACCATAATGTTATTTATAGTGGTAAAATATTTCCTAAGTAAATTTATTGTCTGATAGCTAGATGATAAATAAATTATTATACAATGAAGTTGAATATTTGTAAAAGTTTTAAAAATTATTTTATGTGTGCGCATGTGTGTGTGTGTGTGTGCATGAGTATATATATATATGTGCACCATGTGCATGCAGATGCCCTCAAAGGCCAAAGAGAAGGGCATCAGAACCCCTGGAACAGACAGTTGTGAGCCATTCAATATTGGTGGTAGGACCTGAACCCAGGTCTTCTCCAAGAGCAGCAAGTGATCTTAACTGTTGAGCCATCTCTCCAGCACCCCAAAAGTAGCTTAGATTTTTAAAGGATTCGTATGGCATTAGGCAGTGGTGGTGCACGCCTTTAATCCCAGTGCTGGGGAGGAAGAGGCAGGTGGATCCTTGTGAATTCAAGGCCAGCCTGGAATAGAGAATAGCTATCTTGTCTAGCATAAGTACATGATAGATGTAGAAAATTAAGAGAATGATGTATAATAGATTTTTTAAAGATTTATTTATTTATTTATTATGTATACAACATTCCTTCCTTGTATGTTTGTATGCCAGAAGAGGGCACCAGATCTCACCACAGATGGTTGTGAGCCACCATGTGGTTGCCGGGAATTGAACTCAGGACCTCTGGAAGAGCAATCAGTGCTCTTAACCTCTGAGCCATCTCTCCAGCCCCTGGATTTTTTTTTACTTATAGTAAAAGTCTTAGAACTTCTACAGTGAGAAAGTATCATTTTTTTTTTTTTTTTTTGGTTTTTCGAGACAGGGTTTCTCTGTGGTTTTGGAGCCTGTCCTGGAACTAGCTCTTATAGACCAGGCTGGTCTCGAACTCACAGAGATCCGCCTACCTCTGCCTCCCAAGTGCTGGGATTAAAGGCATGCGCCACCACCGCCCAGCCTATGAAAGTATCATTTTTCATATTCAGGAAAAATTTTGTGAATATTGGTATTACAAAGAATTTATATCTAACATTGATATAATGAGAATTAATTGAAACAACTGGGTTTAAGAATAACAATGTGTATTTTTAGTATGTTCTGGTTTTTGTATCAAAACAATAGCAAGGGGCTGGAGAGATGGCTCAGAGGTTAAGAGCATTGCCTGCTCTTCCAAAGGTCCTGAGTTCAATTCCCAGCAACCACATGGTGGCTCACAATGTCTGGTATCCTCTTCTGGCCTGAAGGCATACACACAGACTGAATATTGTATACATAATAAATAAATAAATATTAAAAAAAACAATAGCAAAAACCAAGCACAAGCATGTAGGGCTTTGTGTGTGTGCTTCTGTGACATTCCACAATTCTTATTGGGAAAATTAGTTGAAATCATGAAAATAACAAGAAAATTTGAATGCTCCATCAACTCCTCTCTTGAGTCTCGGCTCGTTTGATCTAAAAACCTCGACGAAGAGCCTGCATTTAGCTCTCAAGCTGGGCAACACAGGGTCACCTTCCTGGGATGACAGTGAAAACACAGAGGACAAACAGCAGGAAAGCTAGGTAGCTTATGACCAGCCAGCCCCACTGGGGGAGTTCAGCATCCTCTAGGACTGTTAAAAAAACACCTGGAGCACCAACCAGTTCATCTAGAAGAAGCCATTTACCACTAAATGTTTTCACTTAGCATCTCTAGTTGGTTCAGGAAGGACCTAGAAATATATTTTCAAAAGCACCAAAATCTTTTCCCAGGCTGAAACAGCAAGGCTGGGGCCCCTCGGTGTGCAGTGGTGGATGCCAGCCTTCAGTTCAGAGTTGAGGCGTTTATCTCTGGGTTCTGGGGATTCTGGAGGCCCACAGAAAACCCTTTTTCTGGGAGACAGCTGGGCACAGGGTGAAGGGAGCCGGAGAATGCAAAAGCACAACCTTGAGAGCTTATTCTCTTTCCTCCCCGACTAGTCGTGGAGAAGTCAGGAAAAATTAACCCTGTTTGTTAACCTCTTAACAGGCTTTAACTGATCTGTAGCCGTGCACTAGTTTGGTGTGGACAGACAGCAAGGGGACAGCTTTGGGGCATGCAAGCAGTTAAGCTGAACTGGAGGAGGAGGAGGAGGAGGAGGGGAGGAAACAGGAGGTGGAGTAGGAAGGAGGAAGGAAGAAGAGAGGAAGAGGAAAAGAAGATGGGAGAGGAGAAGAGTAGGAAGAGAGGAAGACAGGGAGGAGGGAAGAAAAGAGGGAGGGAGGGAGGAAGACATGGGAGGAGGGAGAGGCTAGAGTGAGCTGTTCTACAAATTTGTCATATAGGCCCCAGATGTGTGGAGGAAATTCTACCGCAGGCTCTTGGGTTACTTTTCTGAGTTAGGACAGGATTAAAGGTGAAGGCCCAAGATTGAACATAGTGACGGAAGGGAACTTTCTATTAGTAGTGAGAGAAAGTCCCAGGCAACAGGCGTGTGTGTGTATGTGTGTGCATGTGTGTATACATGTGTGTGCATGCACACACACACACACCATAAGTTAAAACTAGGAAAAATAGCAACAGGGTCTTAAAATTTCCACAGTACCGCCGCCTCTAGAGTTATTTCTGCACTGGCTTGCCTGTACGTGGCTGTCAGGGCCACTTCCTTAGTTGGAAGTGATTGCTCAGTTACCCCATGGCACTTTCCCGTGGGATTCTAAATTTAAAATGTCAATACATATTCCAAGACGTGCCAGAGAGGGTTGCTAGGGTCTGAGTCCCCCTTTGAAGCAGAGGCAGGTAATTACACCGGGAAAATAGCTCTCTTTCCTCAATGTTATACAGCAAATCCTGTTTCTTTTCCTTTTTCCGGAAACGGTAAACACAGGGAGAGAAAGGGGAGTTTCAGACCCAGGGTACCACAGTGCTACAGACTTCAAGTCTGGTTTGTAAGCCTATCATTTCATGAGCCTAAAAAAGCAAGGCGATGCTCACACCTCATTGTGGGAAGGCTGCCCTCATACCTCCTTTGGGTGCTGGTGTCTAGGTGCTACGATTTTAAACTCAAGACATAATTAGAAATGAAAGAGGAAAACCAGCAGACTTTTAGGGAAAGGTTGTGGCTGCCTGGAAACTCTTGACCTTGCAAGACAAAATGAGGGCTAGTGACCAGCTCAATACAGGCGTCAGCTCTGGGCTTGATCCCCAGCACTGCCATAAACAAGCAAATGAAATGCTGGATATACATATATACATTGTCTGTCTGTCTGTGGGAGATTGTGTGCAAGGTCTACAAGGTCGTAGGTTCAATCTTCACCACTTTTCTTTAGAACGAGAAGTCCTTGAAATAGGCATTAACTTTCCTAAACATTTGCATGCCGACTTCGGATTGACCTGGTCCAGTCCTAAGATGTTCCTGGCACATTAGGTTGATACTGCAATATGGCTCCTCTGCTCAGTTTTGGATTTATTTTTTTAAGTTTATTTAACTTCATTTTATGTGCATCGGTGTGCAGGTGTCAGATCCCCTGGAACCAGAGTTACAGACAGTTGTGAACTGCCATGTGGGTGCTGGGAATAGAAACTGGATCCTTTTGGAAATCAGCCGGTGCTCTTAACCGGTGAGCCATCTCTCCTGTTCTGATTTGTTAATTCTTCAGATTGAAGCAAATACCCATGACAAAAGCTAACTAAAGTTGAGTTCTGGCATCCATTTCTCAGTGTAGTGACCGCTCTGGCCCTGGAGCCGCCCTGCCTAAATCCCCTGAATACATTTTTTTACTTTTTATTTTTAAATCTCTAAAAAATTTAAATGTTGACAGGTGACTGTTTCCCCACCCCCGCTTTTTAAAAAAATTATTTTTATTTTATGTGCATTGGTGTTTTGCCATGGGTGTCGGGTCCCCTGGAACCCATAACAGGAACAGGAGTTATAGTTATGAGCTGCCACATGGGTGCTGGGGATTGAACCTAGGTCCTCTGGAAGAGCAGTCAGTGTTCTTAACCACTGAGCCAGCTCTCCAGCCTGTCCCTCTACTTTTAAAACATTAAGATACCCTATTCTTTCTTTGTATTTGTACTGAGAGGCGCACATCTGAGTGTAGACTGGTGAACAATTATGGGAACTGGCTCTATGTGGGTTCTGAGCATTGAATTCTGTTGTCCAGTTTAACAGCTTACTAAACCCATTGGGCTATCTCCTCCACCTTTGAGTCAATTAGTCTTTGTACCTCATTTTTTCCTCATTCAAACATTAATAATTTCTTACCAAACTAAATACATTGGTGAATCTTGCAGAGAACATAGCACAAAGCCTACGGGATCTGGCACATTCCAGCTAGACACTTAGTACCGAGAGCGAAGTAGTGGGCAGATAGAGAAATAAATCAAAGAACATGAAGGAGGGAAACACTTGAACTCTTGGAGAGTGGACTATGTCACTGGAGAAGAGCCAGACCAAGCAAAGAGTATGAGGCAGACAGAACATTGCCTCTCAACAGCACACCTGGGAACTGTAAACCGTCCCTTGCAGCTGGATTAAGAGCTGTGTGAGAACATCATCCCAAAGAAAGGATGTTTTCACCAGACTTAGGAGGTGATACAGCAGGGGTGGAAGCAAAACATGGGAGGTATGCAGGGCAAGAGGAGATAAAACTGGACATACACACCCAAGGCAAACCTTACAATGTGAACCATGAAAACGTTCTCCATGGTGGTGGCATGTCTGAATCTGCCATTGACTAGTGGGAAGAACAACAGCACAGGATATGCTGGCCCCAAGTTGGAGGAGCCAGAGAATAAGGATCCAGGAAGTAGACAGGATAGATGCTCGCTAGACAGAGCAGAGCATTAAGGTGGGAGCTGGGCAAAGAAAGCACACAGTGCAGCAGCCAAAGCAGTCACCTACCATGAACAAGGTCTGGGCTTCACCCCAGCCCACAAAATAAACAAGATGCTCAGTTAAATTAAAAATTCAGATGGATTTTAATGTGTCTCTTATATCACATATACTCAACAGACTCAACTTTAAGTGGATAGCTTATGCTCTTCTTTGCTGTCAAGAGCCTTATCTTCAGTATATTTAATGAGGAAATGAACAAATCATCACACTCTAAGGCATATATGGTAAGTGCAGCTGAATAATCAGGACAGGAAAACACACAACACAAGTGGACATGGAGGAGATGGTCATTTTCTTGGAATTGATAAAGTCTGATGAAAAGTCAGGTAGTTTAATCTGATTCTGGAGTCAGGGTCCCGAGTGAATCCGCTAGTCTTCACTCACGGCTGTGCAGCCCTGACAGCGTCCTCAAGCTCTCTTCATTAAAACTGGAGGGTATAACGTCTACTTCACAGGCCCACTGGAGAGAAGTATGTACAAGGCACCTAAACACGGGATGCTCTCCCTACATGCTAATCCCTATTGAAATGAAAAGGTCACAGGCCAATGGGTTGCCTGTCACAAATAATCGTTAGTGGCATCCAATAATAGCAATGTTGACGTAAGTTATTTTATTTCCATGATCAGCTATTTACACTGTACAGACACTAATGAAAAGCACCCACAAGTTCACAGTACATTACAATATATTTACTTTAAAAATATATTCCTTTATAAAAGGTTCAAAGAGCACTGGCATGTCCATGTGACAAAACTCTCAAGGCCTGCCACCAATTCTGTGATAGCCAGAATGCTTCCGAGTACTGTCAGTTCACAATCACAGGTCACCATTAGAGTTGTAAATACATACAGGTTTTAAATAAGAAAATGAATTCTACAGTGGAAAGTCTTGAGGCGATACTGTTAGTTCATTAACATAAATACTTTCTCGTAAGAATGCACAACAGCCAACACTCCACCCGAGGACACGTCAGCCCGGCGGATCTGGCCCCACTCCTCTACTTCTTCTTCTTGGCTGCTTCTCCTGGTTCTACTCTTCGCGTCTTAGATGCACGCTCATCTCTGTCATCATCTTGAAGTGGGAAAGAAGAGAGCTTCATTAGTAAGTCTTTAAAAAAAAAATCAACACAGAAAACCCATTTATTAGCTTTATACCAAACGCTCACTCATCAGCTGTCTGAAAGCTTGCCAATAAAACTAAATACTATTTTCAGAACCCGATATTAAACTACATCTGAAAACAAAGTTTTTTTTTTTAATTATAGCAAATTGTAAGTTAACTTTTTAGGGACATGTTAATGTGGCTTAATTTATCTAATTTCCACGGAAACCAGCTCTTTCTGAAACAGCCATCCCCCAAATTTTACCAGAGCACACACTGTATGCAATTAGACACAGCACACGTCATAGAACCAGAGCAGTTTCTTTCTTCAAAACATGCACCACCTTTAGCCATGCTAAGTGGCCATTAGCCGGACTTTTCCTCTCAGATTTCCTCTCCCAGTTTTACAATCAACCCACCATATGTTCTGAGGTTAAAAGCACAAGAAGGTTCAGAGAATCTCACAGCTGTCTATTCTAATTCTGGACTATTCCTTCCTAGACGGCAGAACATCTTTACAGCATGTTCTTAGACTAAGGAAAATTTGGGTGGAGAAAGACTATAGAACCATACAATAAACAGTACCCTTTCCACCCACACCATTGCTGTTTATGGCCACAGAAAATGTCCATGAATAAAAGTGTCAAACCTGAAAAAGTGGACCTTTTCATTCTACTTAAAAAAATTCAATAATGTGTCTCAATATACCCGGGCAAGCACAGACTAGCTGCTAATTCACACCAGTCTCCCCCAACAATGTGTGATACGAGAGTCCAGCCACCTGTGGTGCTGGTGCTGGCAGAGCTCCCCTCAGGCGCTGAGACAGGGGGACTGCTAGGAGTTTGAGGCCAGCCAGCGATACACAGCAACACCCCAAAAGAATCCCACAGATGCACACAGCTTCTCACTTCCTGACTTCCATGGTAGCAGGGACCAAACCCTTCCAGATAATCTTCCATACTGAACACCCTCAGCCTTGACTTTACTCCACTTCTCTCCTCTCCCCTTCCTCTTTTCCCTATGTAGCCTAGACTTGATTTCATGATTCTCCTACCTCAAGCCTCCCAGGTACTGAGATTACAGACACAAGCCTCTGTGCTAGCTGAACTAAAGTCCAAAATACAGAATATGGTGCCATAAAAATATTTTGATGTTTTAAGGCCTTCACATTAAAAACTTAGGGAAACTGCCAAGGTCAAATCACATGACAGAAATCTGCAAGCTGGCTGGGTCCTAGTGCCTGACCCTCCTGCTTCCACTTCCTAGGGATTAGTGGTGTGAAGTCACCATACCCACATTAAAACTTTGGTTTTAAGCTGGAGCTTAACAATCAAGCTTACCTTGAAATTATTTCAGAATTAGTAATGGAGAAGTTGAAAGCATTTCTTGAAGACTACTATCAAGCCACATTATAGAACACATTAAAAGTCTGTAACTTACTACAGGTAAATCTACTGATCAACACTGATACCACAACTGGAAAAATGAGTCCTGTGAGTGACTGGAGGAGAGCGCCTGCTCCCTACTGTCAAAATCAGGTACTGCCTTAAAAACTAGCACAGGAATAGCTTAAAAAAAACAAAACAAAACAAAACAAAAAAAAACAACAAAACAAAAAAACCAAACCAAACCAAACCCTAATCCTAACACAGCACATATGCACGGATATGAAAACAATATTTTCTATTATACAGTGAGTCACTTAACATTAACTTAACCTGTTTTAAAATTAAAGCAGGCCAGGTGCTGGTTGTGCACACCTTTAAACCCAGCACCCGGGAGGCAGAGGCAGGAGGATCTCTGTGGGTTTGAGGCCAGCCTGTCTACAGAGTGAGTTCCAGGACAGCCAGGACTGTTTCACAGAGAAATCCTGCCTTGAAAAACCAAAAAACCAAACCAAACCAAAAAACCAAACCAAACCAAAAAACTACCCCCCCCCAAAAAAAAAACCCAACAAAAAACTCCATTTGCTTCATTAGCTGGTTTTTGCTATTTTTTTGTTAATTTTTTATGTTAATAAAGCGATGAAAATACAACTTTTATTCTCTGCATTTCACAATCACTAAACAAGCAGCCCTGATAAACAGTGAGAGGCAAGGCTAGATTTAACCTTTCTCAGCTCCTCTGCATTCTGAGAGTAAATGGCGAAAAAGGACAAAGGAAGAATATGGAATGGCCAGATAAAAGCAATGTAGTGTAATAATTAATTTAAAATATAATTACGTGGGTAGAGTTTCCAATACATGCTTCATTAATTACAAACTATAGGTAAAACAATGCTGTTGGGGTTGGGGAGATAGTTCCGGACCTGAATTTGAATCTATGCAAAAAGCCTGACCAGTTAACATGTCTGTAACCTCAGTGCTCCCAAGGCAAGGTAGGAGAGACAGAGAGAGAACGCCAACTCTAAAGGCCAGCTAGACACAGCATGCATGAATACATGGATACATAATACACACATAGCAGAAAAAAATCTCAAACGAGGCAGAGGACAAGGACTGAACCTAGGGTTGTCCTGTGGCCTCCACACTCACACACATACAAGAAGAAAAAGGCAAATCAATATTTGCAGTGGTATTGCCGTCTACAATGGCAAAAATATCACTCCTCAAAAGGAAACCATCAGCTGGGGAAGTGGCTGAGTTGGCAGAATGCTCACTGAGCATGTGCGAAGCTCAAATCTAGACCCGCATAATGTGCAGAGAGGCACACACTTGTAACCTCATTTTGGGAGGCAGAGGCAGGAGGATCAGAAGTTCATGGTCATTTGGCTACATAGTGAGTTTCAGACCAAATCTCTAAACAGGTGGGGGCATTTATTACAAGAGTTAGATTCAGTAACCAACACTTAAATCCAATTTAACAAGATTTGCCAGCCGGTGGTAGCACACGCTTTTAATCCCAACACCAGGCAGATCCTGGGTCCTCAGGCCTGTTATGACTGCTGTTTCCTGAGCCTCACAAAACCCCTTGAGTCATACGATCCAGCTTTAAGCCAGAAAACCCTTGGTCTTTTTGTCTTTTCAATTGCTTACATTCAGCTTCTGATTAAAAGGACAGAGTTAGCTATGGTAGGTAATGTGGATGTTATTTGCCATTTATATGAATTTCTGGTAACTGAACCCACAAGTTAGAAAAAAGATGATCCTTGCTTACTTGCATATAACCTCTGGGCCTTTATCACAAGGGGACAGAGATGTACGGGCACCAGAGTACGGTAAACGGGTCCCTTGAGAAGAACGATTACTTCTTAAATTATGACAACACGATGGGAGAAAACCTCAGCTTAATACGGCACAAATCCTAGTCAAGGCTGACAGTTCCCAACGCTGTGAACTTCGGCAGTCCATCACGTCTGACTGTGTTCTCCTCTACAAGACAGTGGTAACGAGCCACGGGTCATACTGTCAGGTGTCAATGCACCAAGTATTTACTGTGACCCTGGACAAGTTATAAGCTCTCACTCAACATTTCCCTATTCTATGTATAAGGCTGTATGAGGATTCTGTATTTAAATACTTAAGTGCCATAGATAAAGGTATTAAAAGTCACACTTTAAGAGCTTCAAAAAACCTTGACAAGGATATGCCTATAGTTCCAGTGCTAGGGATGTGAAGGCAGGAGAACTCCGTTCAAGATCATCCTCAGCAACAGCAGACACCCTCCTGCTACAGAGAAAACAACCTTTTGCTAAGGTTGGCTCTTGTATTGGAAGATCAGAAATCTGTCTAACAAAAAAGGCAAATGGCCTTTAAAATGATAGTCCAGGATGCTGAGCTCAACTCGACAGCCATCCACTGCGATGGGCTGCTGTGGGACCACACACAGAGGACCAGATGAGGCTCTCACAAAGCAGGGCCTATGAACAAACGAGAGCACTGGCCCATCCCAGGTAAAGGAGACTAAATTACTACCAAGAGTGTACTGGAAATTGTTAGATTACTGTGGTAGTCCAAGTGAGAGACAAAATTATAAGATTACCAACAAAAGCAAGAAACTCTATGTCCTGTTCCCGTGCACAGGATTCCCCACTCTGCCAAGCTAGTTGTACCTCTAAAGCACAACTGTCTCAGAAAACGAAGCCGTTAACACACGCCAGCCATAGTTACAGGAACTGTGAAGGAACAACCTGCGGCTGTAACGAGGCACTGGGGACTTCTGAGAGTCTGCTTCAGGCACAGAGGGGAAGGCGGCCCCTGCCTTTAATCTTACAACTGCGAGGCAGAGCAAACTGGCCTCAAAGGGCATCCAGCCTACATAGACCTTGTCTCACACGAAATAAAACGGAAAACCCGAAAGATGGAAGTGATTCTTGTTGGTATTCAAAGTCAAGGCTGCTGTGTCAGCTCACCGGGGTCTAAATGTCGCTCACTGAGTAATCTCCTTAAAGAGACGCATCAAGGGCTGAGGTCTCAAGAGCACTCTTACCTGATTCCACCGTCTCCTCCCCTTCGGGCAGAAGCCGGGCTTTCTTAGCATTCTGAGGGGCATCATCACCATTGTCCTCATAGATGTTCGACCACTTTATCGCCATGTCCAACTCCGGCGGCGGTGGCTTCTTCTCAGTACTGTAGGTCTCCGGGGGCGGCACATAGGTGGACTTCCAGACTTTGAATTCCTTTGGAGGCTGTTAAGTAAGCACATTAAGAAACCCTGTGACGAACCGATGTTCCTGCGATCCATACGAGCGCATGCACCTCCCTGCCGACGGCTCATCTTTCTGGCTGGCTTTTTTTAAATTCTATTTTATTTTCTAATCCTTTAGGCTTTAGAGACACATTTCTTTTTCCATCAACATCACAATACTGTTAAGCAAAAAGTCAAAGGGTTTCCCTAAATAAACAAAGCTAATAACTTTTAGTTACCAAAGAAGAATCCAGTCTCAGATACTACGGCCAGGCTGACCCCTTCAGGAGGCTGCGGCAGAGACACTGTCTTGGTGGCAGCAGCGCAGGCACTTCGGCGTCAAAGGGAAGGGGTCTCGGGGAGAAGCTGCAGCGGGGGGCGGGGAGTCACCACCGTTAGTCGTCGCCCGGCTGGGGGCCCCGAGCGCGGAGGGGCGGGCGAGCCCAGGCTGACACCCCCCGGGCTCCCGGGGCCGTGGGGACGCGCGGCCACCCGCGGGCTGAGTGCGTGCGGGGGGCGGGCCCCGGGGCGGCCGCGGGGCCGGGGACCTCACCTCCTCGGGCGCCTTCACCACGTGTCGCTCCCAGTCGATCTGCTTGTTGAGCGGGTTGTAGAGGAAGGCCGGGCGGGTCACGCTGCGGAACAGCTCGTCGGGGCCCGGCAGCCGCTTCTCCGCCTGCTTCCCGCGGCCGCCCGTCGTCGGGGCCGGGGCCGCCTCCTTGCGACCCCCGTCTTCCGGCTCGCTGTTCTCCTCGCCCGACGAGTCGGAGCTGCTGCTCCCGTAAGCCGCGAAATAGCTCAGCGGGTCCTTCTCCTCAGCTGCCATGACGGCTGCGGACGCCCACCCTCTCGGCCGGAAGCCGGAAGTCGCAGCTGACCCCGCCCCGTCGCTAGACTGGCAGGCAAGTGATGCGTTTGCGTCCCCTAGCGGTGGTGCTGCGGTGCTGCATTCCTGCTCCTGGGAGGAGGGAAAGAGGCTGGAGGAGAGGATTCCACAGTCGCCAAGCAAGGTTATATTTGCTTTCCCCCAGGGAATCCTAAAACCTGTACCAGTGGCCATAGTCACTCTCGGCTGGTAATTGTGGTACAGAAAAGCTAGGCATGGTGATGCATGTCTCTAATCCTAGGATAGAGGCGGGTGGGCTACTGCAAATTTTGGGGGCCAGAGAGGTGCACACAAGGGGCTCCTTGCCAATTTAGTATTATGTAGGACTACCTCAAAGCAAAACAACGGTATGAACAAACAAGCGTAGAGGAATGGGGCCTCACACTTCTGACTCTAGCACTTGGGAGGATGAGGCAGGAGGATTGCCACAAACTGGAGGCCAGTGTAGTAATTTTACCTGCTCCCTCAAAGAAGTTAATATCATTGTAAATATTTCGATCCCAGTTAAGGATCCCTGGTCAAAGGACACTAACTAACTAGCATCCGATACTAACTTACCTCCTAACATGGGACAGGGCTGTGAATTTGAGCATGGAAGGGGCTACACGGCCTTGCTCATACTTATATTCCTAGTAATTATTTCAACGGCCATCCCCGGGCGACATCAATGAATATCGCTGAGTTATAAGTTATGAGAAAATAGGTCTGAGTGTTCCTAAAATAAGTTCCATCCAAGTACCTAGACTGAGAGATAAAGATGTTCTCAAAGTACAAAGTCCTGGGGTCCCCCAATCATCTTTAGTTCGGGTGTGGTGGTAATAATTTGTAATCTCAGCCCTCGGCAGTGAGGGCTCGAGGATCAGACACCCACGGCCACCCTTGTTTATGTAACGAGCCTGAGGCTACCTCAGGTTATTCTGAAATTCTTTCTCAAAAGCAAACCAACCAGGAATGAGAGCTCAATGGACAAACACGTAAAACAACAGAATTTCCAGAAAACTTGAAAGTGGCATCAAGATGCTGGGATGGCAAAGCCTCTCCGACAGGAGATAAAAATCTCTAGCAATAAAAATAAGGGCTCGAAAAAACCAATAATAATAATAATAATAATAATAATAATAATAATAATAAGGGCTCAGAGTTGAGTATCAGGGGCTGGGGAGATGGCTCGGTCAATAAAGCACCTGCTGCAGAATGTCCCAGCACCCACCGAGAAGCTGGATGGAGTGGTGTGTGTTTGTAACCCAAGGGTGTGGGAGCAGAGCCAGGATCCCAAGATCCACCAGGCTAGCCAAATGGTGAGTTCCAGGCCGCGAGTCGCTGTCTCCAAAATGTTAAGAATGAAAGCAACTGAAGACACCGAACATGGACCTCTGACCTCCATACGCAGGCACACACACAAACATGTACTCACACATATATTACACACACAGACATCGACCTCTGACCTCCACACACAGGCACACACAAACATGTACTCACACACACAGACATCGACCTCTGACCTCCACACACAGGCACACTCATAAACATGTACTCACACACAGATATCGACTTCTGGCCTCCATACACAGGCACACACACAAACATGTATTCACACATATATTACACACACAGACATCGACCTCTGACCTCCACACACAGGCACACACACAAACATGTACTCACACATATATTACACACACAGACATTGACCTCTGACCTCCACACACACGAACATGTATTCACATATACACTATACAGTTATTTAATAAAAACAAATGAAAAATGCAAACAAAACTAAAAAGATTAAAAAAACAAAACAAAGAGTCAACCTAAGTTACTAACGGCCACTCCCCTGGCCTGCTTGGCCCTTCTAGTACCATGCTAAGGATGAGGCACACCCCCTGCAAAACCTGAGGAGTAGAAACCAGTCTGAGGCAGCTCTCTTCTTTAGGACCCAACAACGAAACATTCTAGAAAAGACCAGTGCTTGCTAGGGCTGGGAATGGAAGGAAGCAGAGCAGGTGCATCAGGAAAGAATTTTTAAAGCAGTGAAAATAAACTATTTGGCTAGGACACTTTTGGGTAGATATGTAACATATATTCCTAAAAACTTACAACTCAGACAACCAAGGGAGGACCCAGATATGAACTTTAGTTAATAACAATGTTCAATATTGCCTACTGGCTGAAACAAGTTAGCACATCAATGTAAGTATGGGGAACATGGAGGAAGAGGATTTAATAATTATTTTGCTCAATTTTTCTGTTAAACCTATAACTGCACAAACAACATGCTTTTAACAAAAAGCAATTTAAAAAGTGAACAGGGGAAGTATGATTTTTATACTGTGTTAATATGGTATTCCTAAAAAGTAACTTTTACTACTGTATCCATTAGCTTAGTAACCAAGTACAGCCTACTACTGAGTCAAGGCATCCTCTCAATTTATAGCTCCTCTTCCGTCTCTCTCCGCCCTGCCACTTTCAGAGACAGTCTTGACTACAGCCTCTGGCTGCCCTTGAACTCACTGTGTAACTTCAAACTCACTATGTTTCTGCTTCTAGTTCCCAAGTGGTAGAATCATAGGCATGTTGGCTTTGAAATACTGTTTTCTATTTTAAAAACCAGTATATATAAAAAGGGTTAGACATTCGAAAATCAGACATTTTGAGTTTTTGACTCTGAAACATTACTACCTTAAAATTTTTTATTGTTAATAGCAACTTTTCATTTCTTACATTTTAAATAATAGAAATATATAGAAGGTGGATGTCAGAAAACATGTATTTATAATTTAAATGAAAACAATCAGCATTTTTTAAATGTGTAAAGTTAGTCAAACTTTGTAATACAATAAAAACACAGCTGTAGCCAGTGGCTGCTTGATGAAAATATTAAAAACAAAATTGTCACATATTCCAAAAACAATTCTCTAGTTACTTTATCCATATAGCAGTGTTCATCGAAAAAGAATGAGAGGCTCAGAGGAAGGATTTCTATCCAATTATAAGTACTATTAATTAGTTACAACTAATTAATTTTTTCTGTGTAGCCCTGGCTGTCCAGGAACTCACTCTGTAGACCAGGCTGGGCTTGAACTCAGAGCTCCGCCTCTGGGATTAAAGGCATGCACCCACTGCCCAGCCAGGACGGTATTCTCCGGAGCTAAGAATGAGGACGCGAAGGCGGAAATCCAAAGGCACTTAGTCGGCTGGCAAGAGCAGTACAAAATGAACTGTGGCCACTGAGGTCACAGGAGACTCAATGCCATCAGGTGCTCCTTTAGAACCCGAAGGCTTCTCGGAACCAAGGAGCAGAAGACTCTCCTTAGTGCCTGGCTTTTCTACGAGTCAGAAGAGTGTACTGCTGAGATGTATGGCCAGATCATTGGGAAAAATATCAAACTGAAAATTTGTAGCATAAATGTGCTAAGAAACATTATTCTCAGCCATGAGTTGATTTCTCAAATTGAGAAATATGTTGATAAAATTAGTCTTATAAAAAGTTCAAAACACTAAACATCTAAGAGGGAAAGGGTCAATACAGAGAAGCACACATCCATGATTTATGCCCAGCTACCCGTAGTGTGCTTCTTTACGCTAACAAACCCTATTTACAGAGATGTGCACACTGTGATTTAGGACACACGCGAAGCCTGAGTGTACTGTTACAGTGGCTTTATAAAAGATTCTATCATCCACAACACGTTTCAACACTGAGACACTAGGCAGTGAAGGTCACTGGCGTGAGAGAGCACGTGACCGTAAGGGCAGAAACATCTCGCTCGAGTTTCCACAAGTTCCTCCTTCCAACTGCAGATCTGGGGGCAAAGCAGGGGCCCCGGGGTCCCCAGGTCGAGGAAGAGTGCCCGAGGAGAAGCTGCTGCTTTCAGTTCTGCCAACTTCCAGGACTGGCAAATTCAGAGAAGACTCCGTGGAGAAAAAGGGAGCGGTGCTAGATTCTCCTTCCGGGTGGTACGTGACCATGGACGCTCTCTGCTTTTCTGAGAAATTACTCTCATCTGAATTGGACCTGGAAAGGTTGTTGGTGGCTGCAGCTGCAAAGGGCTCACAGCTGCTGCTCTGCAAGCCTACAACAGAGCATCCAGAAAGCAAATGAGAAGGGAACCAAAATGGACACGCCTCCCACCCTCTAACTCCTCCAGGACTGTGAGCTAGTTCCAGTACCACCTTGGTACGACATTTGCAGCAGGATCTCGTGTAGCCTAGGCTGCCCTTGACCTCACTATGTAGCCCAGGCTGGCTCCTGCAACCGCTGCCTAAGAGCTGGGATTAGAGGCTGCCCCTTGATGTTCAGCGGCAGGATTTCAGCTGTAATCTACAAATGCTGCTGTCACAATCCTCTGCAGACCTAACTTGCTCTCTGACAAGAATCCTACTATTTACACTGCAGGCTAAGGCCACCACTTCACGGCAGCTAACTCAATGCCATGTTGTTCATATTCAATGAATACTTGCATAGTTGACAGCTGAAGGCTAGGGTGGGGTAGGAGGCCAAGTGGCTCAAAGGTTAAGAGCACTGGTTAGTCTTCCAGAAGACCCTGGTTCAGTTACCAGCATTCACACGGCAGCTCACAACCATCTGTAACTCCAGTTCCAGGGAAGCTGATGTGCTCTTTGGACTCTGCAGGCACCAGGCATGCAAGTACAGGCAAACAGCTCAGACATAATTAAAAAAATCCTTTTAAAAAAAAAGGCAAGGGGGCTGGAGAGATGGCTCAACGGTTAAGAACACTGACTGCTCTTCCAGAGGCCCTGAGTTCAATTCCTAGCAACCACATGGTGGCTCACACCCATCTGTAATGAGATCTGGTGCCCTCTTCTGGGGTGCAGATACGCACACAGGCAGAATACTGTATACATAATAAATAAATAAATCTTTAAAAAAAAAAGGCAAGCAGTTGTTCATAGCTAACTTTATTTCCGTTGAGAGAGGGCTCCCTGCTGGAAATATTATTGTAAGGTGTGTTACTTTTGTTTATGTCGCATTTGCCTAACTCTGTGAAGCTGGGTTACTCTGCCTGTTTCCAACACCTGACGGTCTAATAAAGATCTGAACAGCCAATAGTGAGGCAGGAGAAAGGATAAGTGGGGCTACCAGGCAGAGAGTATACAGAAGGATAAAACTAGGAGAAGGGGTTCAGGAGTACCCCGAGAAGGAGGAGGACATCAGGGGCCAGCCTCCCAGCTACACAGCAATTCACACAGTGAGATTTAAAAAAATAAGTGAATGGAAAGACACAGCAGCCAAAAGGTAGATGGGATAATATAAGAAAAGCAGGCAAGGAACAAGCTAAGGCTGGGCATTCATAACTAAGATGAGCCTCCGCCTGTGATTCATTTGGGAGCTGGGTGATAGGCCCCTCCAGAGTCCAAAGAGAGTAACATCATGTCATCCCTACAGCGTAGGTTAGTGCTGCAGTTGCTAAGCAGCCCAGGGAGACCTGAATGAACTCTGAGTCTTCCTGTTTCAGCCTCTTGAGTGCTAGGATTACATATACCATTTTTATCTAAGAAACATTCTTTAGCATTCTGGCAAAAAATATTATTTTATTAAAAACAAAATGTAATCAGACATACTCAAAATTTACAAGTCAGGCAGTGGTGGTGCATGCCTTTAATCCCAGCACCTGGGAGGCAGAGGCAGGTGGATCTCTATGAGCTGGAGGCCAGCCTGGTCTACAGAGTGAGTTCCAGGACAGGCCTCAAAGCTACAGAGAAACGCTGTCTCGAAAAAGTCAATAAATGGCAATTATTGGTTCTTGAGTCATGGGGTATTAGAACCGAAGAGGATTTAGTGATCTGAGACACTCGCTGTTACTATTAGGGTTGACAAAATCGGCACTGAACAGGCGAGCCATGCAATGTTCCAGGACTGCCGTGCACAGAGGGAGCTACAGGTAGCCAGCGACCATCGCAGCTCAAACAACAGTGCTTTCTCCAACCGTAGAATTCTACCATGTCCTGCCGGTCTAATGGACAGTCAGCCCAAACAGGATGGATGCAAACACTGCCTATTATGCCTAGCACGCAGCTGTCTCCAGGCACAGCAACCCCGGCGGTGACAGTTATAGGTAAAACCAAAGAAATCTAAAGTGAATTTGCGGGTCATCTTTTTTGCTAATTTTTCACTATAGACACACCCTTTTCCCCATCTCTGACTCACTGTTTTTTGAGACAAGATTTTAGAGAGTAACCCAGGTTGATCTCAAAAATCACAGTTCTCCCCTAAGCGTCCAGATGTAGACCACCAAACCTGACTCAGATGCTGGTCATAAAGCTCGTGAGGGGGAGAGGCAACAAAGACATCCAGATTCGAGTTTCTTACAGGCAGAGCCTTCAATAACTCACTTCTCTATCGCCAATGTCAAGAGGAACAGGCACAGTTATAGCCTGTGCACACGTAAGCTTAGGCTATAACTGTGAGTATGTGTGTGTAACTTGGTGCTCTGGGGAAGGGGTGGGAGTATCATCTTGGGGATTTAAACTGAGCAGAGTTCTACAAAGTGTCCCGTCAGAGAGTGCTGTGGGCTGAGGGTGAAATGGGAGGTGCCTTGCTCCTCTCTGGCCAGTTTCAGGTCCCATGCCTCTCACAAGCTGACTGGTTTAAATTCATGTGTACTTTATGCAGGATTCTTATAAGCATGTGCCAATCACTGCTTCTGATTAACTGGTGGGAAAAATCACAGAGACAAGCTTAGGCAAACTTAAGATCCATTGCCTATAGATTGTCCTTCGGTTGTCAGGACAGAGTGTCGCTCTACATAGCAGGCTGACCTGGAACTCACAATGTAACCCAGGTTGGCTTTGAACTTGTGGCAGTCCTCCTGCCTTGGCTTCCTACGTCTAGGAATATAGGCATAAGCCACAGAGCTCCTCTTCTTAAAATGTAATTGTGTTTCTGAGCTTATTTCTGAATGGATTACGTTTAAGGCACATATTAGAAATAAGCTTCTTAACCTTAACTGAATATGAATACAGCCAATTGGGTTTATATCACTTTCGTAATATGTATCTGGTAAGAACGTAAATTGAATAGTTCTGACCCTTAGCTTGCTGCACGGCATCCCTCACCTCTGAGATGCTCCAGTTTTATATTACGAAGCTTTAGTACTTCATCCGTTATCTTCTGAATCAGGAAGTTCTGTGTTTTCTCTCTGCGAATGGATTCCACGAGGGTGTCCAGTCCCTTGGGGTTTTCCTGTAAGTAGTCTAACAACTTCCCAGCTCTTTTCCTACTTGAAGTTCGGCAAGAAATTTCTTCCGTGTCTTCTCTACTGAGTATTTTTTTTGCACGGAGATGATCAAAATGTCTCTCAGCTATGATTTTCTCACACAGGTAAACACGTAAATTTTCTAAAGCCTAAGAGAGAAAAGAAAATATGCTTCAGTGTTACTTTGTGACATATGGTCTGGTTCACTTTTTATCACACCTGAAAACTAAGACCCAGCTGATGGGAGGAGGGCCTGCAGAAGCTAGAAGTCTGCAGAGGTTTTCTTTACCCCTAGTTCAGGGGTAAAGAAAAAAAGTCTTTAGATTCTAGTAACTATTAAGAAAGTAATTTCACAATTGGGACCAGGGAGAACAACTTGTATAGAGCCTCACAATTTGCAACTTTCTAATGTTATTAATTTTTATATCACCTCACTGTGAAACCAGTATAAACAAACACAACTCAAAATTCCAAAGGGCCCAGATGTCTGGCTGTGAGGTCAGTTAGAAACCTATACAACTCATGGAGCCAGTCTTTGTGGGAGGGAGAAGGAAGGGATGCACTAAGAGGAAGATAAAGGAATAGGACGGAGTGCTGGAAAAATTAAGAAAAAGGAGACTAGAGGAAAGCCTAGATTGAGAGAAGCTAGTTCAGGCTGGCGCTTACTTAACTGAAACATGAAAACAAAATGGTGCACATGTCATGAGGTAGCATGTAATTAATGCTCATGCATACAGTGTGTACTGTTTAAATCAGGTCCATGTTTGTCTTAATAAACGATGATGATCTGATGCCAGTCATTACATATTCATGCTTGCATACTAGATACATGATTTTGGGCAAGTTACTTAAGTCCTCTGTGCCTGTTTCTGCATGTGATAGTTCGGAGGAATAAATTAATATGCGAATTGCTTAGGAATTGCATGGTACATACTATGTGATGGGTCCTGTGAGGGATAATAATGGTGATGAATATGACTCACAATTACAATGAGCTACAGGCAGTGCAAGATTTCAGTAGAGCCGAGTTAGAAAACAATGGCAGGGAAGCTGCTTCATTGGAGGTTTCTCAAAGATTTTTAATCTCCTGAATTCCCACACACATTTATTTATCCACACAACAAACGTTTTATGTGTAAGTTCCTAGCCACACTGACATCCAAAGGGGCTGTACCAGCTTGCACTCCCACCAGCAATGCAGAAGTGTTCCCCTTTCCCCACATCCTCTCCAGCATAAGTTGTCATCAGTGTTTTTGATCTTGGCCATTCTTACAGGTGTAAGATGGAATCTCAGAGTTGTTTTGATTTGCATTTCTCTGATGACTAAGGATGTTGAGCATTTCCTTAAGTGTCTTCCAGCCATTTTAGATTCCTCTATTGAGAGTTCTCTATTTAGGTCTGTACTCCTTTTTTTTTTTTAAATTGGATTATGTGTTCCTTTGGTGTCCAATTTCTTTGTATATTTTGGAGATCAGACCTCTGTCTGATGTGGGGCTAGTGAAGATCTTTTCCCATTCTGTAGGCTGTCGTTTTGTCTTGTTGACCGTGTCCTTTGATTTATAGAAGCTTTTCAGTTTCAGGAGGTTATTAGCTGTTTCTCTCAGTGTCTGTTCAGCCTAGTCTCTTACAGACAGTAAAAGTCAACGTCCAGTGACTACTGAATCATGGCAGGGAAGATTCTTGAAAGTGTGGTAATTCAGCAGCACTCTAGGATTTTTGCTCCTCTACAGCTGAGGACTGACGCTGTCCTATGCTGTCATGTGTCTGGTTTTCTCTTTTCATACCCTAAGCTCCTCCTCATCTTTTAAGACTGAGGTCATTGATCATCTCTGGAGAGCCTCACCTTAGCATCCAGGATGAGCTGGACACGCCTCATGCAGAACCAGATTCCTACTTCTTTATCTCATTTCCCAGCTCATACCCAGACATTTCCACTCTGTCCCAACGCTCTTACTGAAGTCACCAATGATCTGCTCTTTTGACAGAATCTTTCCATCTTCATCTTATTTGGCTTCTCAGAGCAGGGACACAGTGTTCCTCCAGACACAACTTCCTTGCCGAACAAATACGACAATGCCCCAATTCACTGTGGTCTCTAGGACACTTCTCTCCGCACCTCTCACCCCTTCCCTGAGTCTTGCTACACCTGGTCTCAAACTTGTGACCTTTCTGCCTTAGCCTCCAATGACAGGGACTGCAGGAGAGCACCTGTAAACTTCTCTTTACAGGGCCTCGAACATCTCATCTGTAGTCGTCAAGGTGTCCAGTATCAAGCTTGTACTTCTCCTTTCGAGCTCTCTTCAGACCGTCAGCCTCAGCTGCCCATCAAGTCCCATTATTTCTGTGTTCTTCTTACAAAGCACCCTGAACTTCTGCTTCGCTCACGCTACTGCCTTCACCCTGACCCAAACCATCTCTCAGGACGCCTAGTCAAGACTTCTTCTACTTTTACTCATGTCCTAGTCCACAGAAAAGGCAGAAAGATCCTTAAAAGTCAAACAAACAAAAATCCTATTAATTCCTTAGCAAGCCTCTACTAGCAGAAAAAAATCAAGTCCTTCATGAGTTTACTTAGACCACATTTCCCATCTCATCTTGTTAACCTCTGCCTTCTCTCAACATTCTGAACTTACAAAGGCCTTGACTGTCTTAGGTCCCTGTCAGTAAATTCTTTTCTCCTTCAAGTGTTCCTCCCCCAGTTCTGTCATAACCTCCAGGAATCAATCTCAGGCACATCTGACTGTCTCATTCAAAGTACAACGCTGTCTTCACAGCCAAATTTGAAATTGTACAATTGTGTGAATGATATTGTATTTTTTAAAAAGATTCATTTATTATGTATACAGTATTGTGTCTGCCTGCAGGCCAGAAGAGAGTACCAGATCTCATTACAGATGGCTGTGAGCCACCATGTGGTTGCTGGGAACTGAACTCAGGACCTTTGAAGAGCAGGCAGTGTTCTTAACCACTGAGCCATCTCTCCAGCCCTGTGAAAGATATTTTATTTTTCAGCTTTAATGACCTATATATTTGGAGCAGGTAAGAAGCAGTGGTGTTCTGTTTAATGCTGTATAATCTGCATTTCAGAGTGCAGTGCTTTGGATGAATGAAAAATTCAATACAATATTCTGAAATTATCATTTTATGGCTATTTTCCTTCAAGAAATTAAGCTTTATTTCTTTTTCTCTTTTTCTTTTTTTTTTTTTTTTTGAGACAGGATTTCTCTGTAGCTTTGGAGACTGTCCTGGAACTAGCTCTCGTAGACCAGGCTGGCCTCGAACTCACAGAGATCCACCTGCCTCTGCCTCCTGAGTACTGGGATTAAAGGTATCTGCCACCACCATCCAGCAAAATTAAGCTATTTTAAAAACAGGATTTTGTCTTAGTTCTTAATTTAACTGTTAGAACCAAATTACATTATGAACTTCAGAGTACCATGGAATCTCTATTTGTTAAACCAAATTCAACCAAAAAAGGACACATTAAACAAATGACGAGAAGAGGGAGGAGCACTGGAGACAGAGGAGTTCCGGCTGTGGAATATTCCTTTATACTGTGTGAACATATGATTGGTTCAACAAAGAAGCTGACTGGCCAATAGCTGAACAGAATAAGGTTAGGAGGGAGAGCCAAACTGAGAATGCTGGGAAGAAGGGCGTAGTTGGGAGTCTTGAGCAGAGACAGAACATGGGCATGCCTTATTGAGAAAAGGTACCAAGACCCATGGCAAAGCCTAGATAAAAATACGGATGAATTGAAAATGTAAGAGTTAGCTAGTAGCAAGCCTGAGCTACTGGCTGAGCATTTGTAATTAATAAAAGCCTACGTGTAGTTAGTTACTTGGGACTTGCAGCCAGGAAAAAAAAAAGTTCGCCTACACCTGGGGGATCATCAGCAGGACAGTGCTCCCCCCAACATAAGGACTTGTGCCAAGACCCTCAGGTGATGTCTGAAACCTCATGGTACCAACTCCATGCCGAAGCTCTCTGCCATAAAAACTAATCTCACCAAGACAGCTACTAAAGGACTAGCAGGTAGGTAACACATACAGTGTGATACACTGGGGAAAAGGTTTGCCTCATGGCCCTGGCCAGATGCAGTGGGATAGTGCAGGATTTTATCAAGCTACTTAGAAGAGTGCTCAATTTGTACCATATAAACTTGTCACATCTCTGTTAAGTATTTTGGGGCCATGGCTGACCACAGGCAACAGACGCCACAGAAAGAAAGCCTGAAAATACACAGAGCCTCATGTAAATAACTTCAGCCACTTCCTAAAAGGACGCCAAGCAGTTTGGGGGGAAGGACAGTGAATAGTTCAATGACTGAAAACAGAAGAATACTTTGTATAATATTAAAACTTGGTTCCTAAAAAGCACCTGTAAATAAAGGTCTGGAGTTGAGAAAGAAGGAAGTTCAAATTGTGTGGATGAATTTTCAAGCTCCTCACAGCAGTTCTGAAAATAGGACAGACACCTGAAAAAAAATTTCTTTGTAGCCACCTTGCGGCTCATGCATCGCTTCTCTACGGTTATGAACACCTGACACAGGTCTAAACTGGGAACGCCAGGGAGGGTAACACCAGTGAACCCACTGGACCAGAAACAGAGGTCCGCAGTGGTCTTCCCATCTGTGTCTATAGGCAGGTCTGATCCGCCTTTGCCAGCTATAAAATGGAAAGAGATTCTCTTCCTTACAGGATATCTTAAGGATTGTGAGAAAATTCCAAACTGTATGAAACAGAACCGGAAGCACAGCTGCCATGTGTGTGCATGGTTTTCCTGGCATCTTTAATAAGAGGACAGTGGTTATCGAAGACCTAGTTTCAAGTGGAGTGTAAGCGCCCTGCCAACTCCACCAAACAAGGGCCCTACAGCACAAGTCCCAGTCAACCATGCCAATTTTAATTATGGGTGCAGTGCAATAAACCCTACAAGGAGTAAGGGATGGTAGAAAAACGGACCTGAAGCGGAAAAGTTCGCAAAGACGACTTTTCGATAGCACTACGGTGCTAAGCAAGAAAGAATTATTGTTTTTAATGTGAATTCAAGTATATTATACAAGGGGTGCTTATCTGATTTCTTTCCTTTCTGGCAAAACACGTAACTAAAGGAGAAGAAAAACGAAACATATGGTGCCTCAAGTCATCTTTCTCAAATATTAAGGTGTCTGTGCAGTTCTGCGTGATCTAAGCAGAAGAGGGCAATTTAGCTATTGAGTATTTTCAACGTTTACCTGGGAATCAAGCCTCGCTAGATGTACGCACACCCCCCTTCATTTAAATACGTGGGCGACTGCTTACTAGGGGAATTCCAGGCTGTGCCTTCAGCTGGCGAGCTTTCCACAGTCCCCCGGACAGACGAGTTTTGCCCCCATCTGCTCTCCTGCAGGGGGACATCTGGTCCAGCGTCTGCTCCAGAGAGAGCCCTCCGGGGGCCCTAGCCAAGCAGCTCCCGCGGGGGTGAGCTGGGGTGGGGGATCAGCAGGGTGCAAGGGTGCAGAGCCACCGGTGAGAAGCGGATGGTAAAGAAACACCCAAGCCGGTTTCACCGTGGACTCACTTCCAGCCAGCCCCGGGGTGCAGCAGGCGGGTCGTGCCCCGACCTTGCGTTCTTCCGACCTGAAGTTCCCCGTCGCTCGGCTCCGGGTTTCCGCTTTCCTCCGTCCCCGCCCGTCCCGCTGCGCCCAGCCCTGCCGAGCTACTCACGTCCTTCTTCACTTCAGTCAGATCCTCCTCTGTTAGGGACAGCGCGGGAGCCTCCATGGCCGAGGCCGGGATGGCGTCCTTCCGGTCCGCGCCGCCCCGCCCAGGCTGAAGGCTCCGGTCTCCCGGATTCAGGCTGTGACTCGAAGGGGACCAGGAACAGATCGGGGGAACGGCGGCCTCCCTGAACGCAGAGGTGGGGATCTCAGCGCCCCACTTCCGGCCCCGCCCCGAGGCCTGCGGTGCCACACTCCGCACCCCTCTACGTCCTTAGGCTTCAACGTCGAGCGCAGGCACCACCCCTCTCGGGAGGCGGATCTGCCTCCAGGCCCCGCCTCACGCATGGATCAGCCAATCAGGGCTAGCCCGCGGTTCCCCCCCCCCCCCCCCCGTCCCTTTTTCCGGAGTGGCTTCGAAGGCAGAGGCCATCTATAGCCACGCCCACTTGTTACTTGCATAAAGTTGCGGATTGGTCTCCCGAGAAGGACTCGTCCCCGTGGGCGTGGCCTTAGCCTCTCGGTTTAGCGGGATCTCCCCGCCCCCGCACACTCCTCATTTGGGTGGAGTGTGGGTTGAGTCGGCCACGGCTGTGCTTCTCTTTTCCAGATGTTGCGGAACGATTTCCTGTTGTTGGGCTGGTCCAGGTTTTACAATTACTTGATCATACACAAACACTTACAGGTATGCACACACAATAGAACTCCAGGATTGAAACGTTCGAGGGCCTGGGCCGGGCCCACTGCCACCCACGACCTAGCACTTAGCTCCCTAAATAAGAACAAGATCCCTGGAACAAGAGGATCGTGAGAACAGGAAACAAAACAACAACAACAAAGTAAACAAGTAAATAACAGAAAAAGTGTTAAGATTAAAAACATCACCCGCAATCCCACTATTTTAGCACCGAAAGCAATGTTTGGGTACTTTTAAGAGTCTGTTCGTTAGGAACATGTCCCCTTATTAATCTATGGAATAGAGATAAATTTAATTAGCTTTTAAAGCTTCTATATATTTAAGGTTCTGGAGCTACCTGGCATACAGTTGCGCTCTCGTTTGTTCTCATTTTTTTTTTTTTTTTTTTGATTTTTCGAGACAGGGTTTCTCCGTAGCTTTTGGTTCCTGTCCTGGAACTAGCTCTTGTAGACCAGGCTGGCCTCGAACTCACAGAGATCCGCCTGCCTCTGCCTCCCGAGTGCTGGGATTAAAGGCGTGCGCCACCACCGCCCGGCTTGTTCTGATCTTTTATCATTGCTCACTAAGCAAGAGTTTTAGGAACCTTGTGATGGGGGAATTATTTTACTGAGGCCAAGTGGTTATTCCCAAAATGGCGTTCTAACCTGTAGCAGCCTGTGGAAACATACGCGGTGGTGGATGAGGAGCTCCACATAGAGTCCTACATCAGAAATGATTATATGCGCCAAGTGGTGGTGACTCCGCAAGTGTGGATTCAGGCAACAAGAGGACCAAAGGCAGTGAGTTTCTGGCCCCGCGGCGCCAGCCCGGGAAGGGGAGTTCAGAGGTTCCTTGGCCCCCTATCCTTCTTGAGCTCTCTGCAGGGCCCCCACTCCCTGCATACCTCCTCTTTCTTCCTGGCCCACCCAGCTTCCATCCAGAACCCTCCCCACTTTGCCCCACCGCCCTCTTTCTGCACATAACATCACCCAGCCCAGCCTGTCTGGGCACTGGGTCCGAATCCTCGGGGCACCCAAGCGGGCGGGAGTCTCTGTTTCTATGGCCTGCCTGCACCAAGCAGGGTAGGCACTTTGTTTGCGACCTGCCCACCAGCATGGAGGCCTGATCTCTAGGCACCAGGAGACCCAGCGTTGGGGAGAGACAACGTTGGGGAGAGCCAGCATTGGGTAGGCAAGGAGACCTGATCGGGTAAAGAAGATCCATAAGGGAGCATTTGGAAGAAGAGATGGGTAGACGCCAAGGCAAGAATTCGCCCAACAAGCTGAAAAGCAACATGAAGCCACCAGAAACCAGCGACCTCACAACGGGAGGTCATGAACACCTTAATCAAGAAGAAGTAGAAAAGATTGACTTCATGAAAGTGATTGACGCCCTTAAACAGCATGTAAAAAACGCCCTTATAGAAATGGATGAGAAATATAACAGAAAGTTTGAAGAATTGAATAAATCAGTGAATGATACCCTAGAAAACCAAGGAAAAACAATCAAACAGATAATGGAAACGGTGCAAGACTTGAAAACTGAAATGGAGGCAAAGAAGAAAACACAAACAGAGGGCCGGCTGGACATGGAAAATTTAAGTAAACAAACAGAGTCTACAGAAACAAGCATAACCAACAGAATACAAGAGATAGAAGAAAGAATCTCAGACTCTGAAGATACCATAGAGAAAATAAACACTCTGATCAAAGAAAACAGCAAGTCCAACAAACTCTCATCACAAAATATTCAGGAAATATGGGGCACAATAAAAAGACCAAACCTAAGAATAATAGGAGTAGAAGAAGGAGAAGAAGTGCAGCTCAATGGTCCAGAAAATATATTTAATAAAATTATAGAAGAAAACTTTCCCAACCTAAAGAAAGATATACCTATGAAGGTTCAAGAAGCATACAGAACACCGAATAGGCTGGATCAAAAAAGAACATCCCCTTGCCATATAATTATCAAAACACAAAGCATACAGAATAAGGAAAGAATATTAAGAGCTGCAAAGGAAAAAGGCCAAATTACTTATAAAGGTAAACCTATCAGACTTACACCTGACTTCTCCATGGAAACCATGAAAGCCAGAAGGTCCTGGATAGATGTACTTCAGAAACTAAGAGACCATGGATGCAAGCCCATATTACTATACCCAGCCAAGCTTTCATTCACTATAAACGGAGAAAATAAAATTTTCCAGGATAAAAACAAATTTAAACAATACGCAGCCACAAATCCAGCCTTACAGAAAGTAATAGAAGGAAAATCACTAACCAAGGAGTCCAACAATGACCACAATAACTCAGACATCTAGAGACCCTTCACCAACACAACTCAAAGAAGGGAAACACACAAACTCTACGACTAAAAAAAATGACCGGAGTTAACATCCACTGGTCATTAATATCACTTAATGTCAATGGACTCAACTCACCTATTAAAAGGCACAGGCTAAGAGACTGGATACGAAAACAGGATCCAACATTCTGCTGTTTACAAGAAACACACCTCAACCACAAAGACAGGCACCTACTCAGAGTAAAGGGCTGGGAAAAGGCTTATCAAGCAAATGGACCTAAGAAACAAGCAGGTGTGGCCATACTAATCTCTAACAAAGTTGACTTCAAACTTAAATCAATCAGAAGAGATGGAGAGGGGCATTTTATACTCATAACAGGAACAGTTCATCAGGATGAAGTCTCAATTCTGAACATCTATGCCCCTAATATAAAAGCACCCACGTACATAAAAGAAACATTGCTAAAACTCAAGGCAGCCATCAAACCGCACACACTAATAGTAGGAGACTTCAACACTCCTCTCTCACCAATGGACAGGTCAGACAGAAACCTAACAGAGAAATAAGAGAATTAATGGAGGTAATGAATCAAATGGACTTAACAGACATCTATAGAACATTCCACCCAAATAGGAAAGAATATACCTTCCTCTCTGCAGCTCATGGAACCTTCTCAAAAATCGACCACATAGTCGGTAACAAAGCAAACATCCACAGTTACAAAAAAATATTAGTAACCACCTGTGTCTTATCAGATCACCACGGATTAAAGTTAGAATTCAACAACAATGCTACCCTCAGAAAGCCTACTAATTCATGGAAACTGAACAGTCAACTACTGAACCATACCTGGATTAAGGAAGAAATTAAGAAAGAAATTAAAGTCTTCCTGGAATTCAATGAAAATAAAGAAACAACATACTTAAACTTATGGGACACTATGAAAGCAGTCCTAAGAGGAAAGTTCATCGCACTAAGTGCCCACTTAAAGAAAACAGAGAAAGCTCACATTGGAGACTTAACAGCCCAACTGAAAGCTCTAGAAAAAAAAAGAAGCAGACTCACCTAGGAGGAGTAGAAGACTGGAAATAATCAAACTGAGGGCTGAAATCAACAAAATAGAAACACAGAAAACAATACAAAGAATCAATGAAACAAAAAGCTGGTTCCTGGAGAAAATCAACAAGATTGACAAACCCCTATCCAAACTAATCAAACGGCAGAGAGAGAATTTGCAAATTAATAAGATCAGAAATGAAAAGGGGGACATAACCACAGACACAAAGGAAATTCAGAGAATCATTAGATCTTACTACAAAAGCCTATATGCCACAAAACTGGAAAATGTAAAGGAAATGGACACTTTTTTAGATAAATACCATATACCAAAGTTAAACCAGGACCAGGTGAATAATCCAAATAGACCTGTTAGTCGCGAAGAATTAGAAGAGGTTATCAAAAACCTCCCTACCAAAAAAAGCCCAGGGCCAGATGGTTTCAATGCGGAATTCTACCAGAACTTCCAAGAAGACCTAATACCTATACTCCTTAATGTATTTCACAATATAGAAACAGAAGAGTCATTGCCAAATTTCTTTTATGAAGCTACAGTTACTCTGATACCAAAACCGCACAAAGACTCAACCAAGAAAGAAAATTATAGATCAATCTCACTCATGAACATCGATGCAAAAATCCTCAACAAAATACTGGCAAACCGAATCCAAGAACACATTAGGAAAATTATCCATTATGATCAAGTAGGCTTCATCCCAGGGATGCAGGGCTGGTTCAACATACAAAAATCTATCAATGTAATCCAGCATATAAATCAACTGAAAGAAAAAAACCATATGATCATTTCATTAGATGCTGAAAAAGCATTTGACAAAATTCAACACCCCCTTATGATAAAAGTATTGGAGAGATTAGGGATACAAGGGTCATACCTAAATATAATAAAAGCTATATACAGCAAGCCGACAGCTAACATTAAATTAAATGGAGAGAAACTTAAAGCCATCCCACTAAACTCAGGAACACGACAAGGCTGTCCACTCTCGCCATACCTCTTCAATATAGTACTTGAAGTTCTAGCAATAGCAATAAGACAACATAAGGGGATCAAGGGGATTCGAATTGGAAAGGAAGAAGTTAAACTTTCGTTATTTGCAGATGATATGATAGTGTACATAAGCGACCCCCAAAACTCCACCAAAGAACTTTTACAGCTGATAAACACCTTTAGTAATGTGGCAGGATACAAGATCAACTCCAAAAAATCAGTCGCCTTCTTAT